TGAATTTGAACGGATGCTATTTTTGGCCTCTAGGGACCTCAAAACGAAAAAAAAATCGGTCCCGGGTCCAGGTCTTACCATGAGTACCTACTACGGTAATAGCTTATTCCCTATATGGGAAATTCGCTAAAATATGGTGAATCGACTTAAGAGCGGAATTCATGAACGTTCCTTAACCTATTCCTTGTTCCTTACCTTAACAAAGGAACAAGGAATAAGGAGTAAGGAATAAGGTGCGAAACGAAATTCACAAACACCCCTTCTTTTCACCCTTTGTCGAGGAATAGGTTTAAGGATCCCTTACACGACTAATCAGTGGTGGTACTTTTACAGAGTAAAATTACACAATATCATACATAAAGCTAATGATCAAAATTTAAAAATTACTAAAAAATCATTATATTTTAATGTTTATTGCTTGATAAGTACAATCACCTTTATTATTCTTTTGATTAATTGTTATAAATCGGCGAAACTAAGAAATATGTAATGTTATAAAAGGGAGTGAGAATCCTCAACAGTTGGTATTACATTTCGCGGTTTTCGTTAATGAATTTAGCCGTTGGTTCATTGTTGGATTGAGTTCAAACGCTTGAAAAGTTAAGAAGTGATAATGGAAGGTTTCACTATTTCTAATGATAGAAAGAGATTTTCGGATAAAGAAAAGTTGTTTTTGGTTCATCAAATAAATAAGTACAGCAGGGTGATTGAGTCGAAAGAAAGTAATGGGCCAAAAATTCAAGAGAAGCGGAAGATTTGGCAGGTTATCCAACAGGAGTTCAACGCAGAGCCAGACCACACTGAGGTAGGTTCTAACTAAGTATAGGCCTATTATTTAAGTTTTTAATCAATATAATTATCAATGCAAACGGTACTAATGTAATTATAGTTCTTACAATTAATGCAGGCTACAGTATTGAAAAGTAGGCCTATAGAAATACTCATTTAATTGGTGAACATAATAAACTTACGCTACATCAAACCAAACAGAAAGAATTTAATATGTACTAGCCTAGGCTAGGATACTAAATATATAAAATGCAGCAGGCCTACGCTAATGTTTGGCCTTATACAATAGACCTATAATAAAATGTTACTCAACTAAGTTAAAAATGTGGTAAGTTTACAGCATATTGTGTAACAGCAGTCATAATACAAATGGCTTAGTTAGGCCTATCTCTTATGTTCCAGATCTGATTTTGGAACATAAAAACCAGATCAAGCTAGATCTGGGTTAAGTTAAACTTATAACTCAAAGAAAACTATTTTAATAAAACAAAAAAGAATATAAGATGTTTTAACATTGAAACCTAATGAACTATGCATTTAAAAAGTAAAAAAAATTAAAAAGTGGAAAAATCCGCATCAAAAAATAAACTGCCCGAACGGGATTTGAACCCGGGGCTCCAGCACTGAAGGCGGATAACTTGGCCACTAGACCGCGGCCGCTCGCTACAAGCGCTCGTAACAAAAGCCATTAAGAATTAGAGAAGCTGTTGGTCTTTAATGTAAAACCTCATTGCCCAAAAGTTTTTTTGCTCGGTCGAACTTTTACCAAATAATAATGAAATTCGACTGACTGCAACAGTTCCAACAGATTCAAACCCATTTAAATCATTTATTAATCTCATAGGCCTATCTATCAATTAAGTGGGAAATTGGAATATTTAAGAAAGTGTGAAGAGAGGTTCACCAGTTAATTAAGTTTAACAATTAAAAAAGTAAGCTATAGGCTAGTTAGGCCTACACCCAAAAACGTTATCGTAGGCTAAGTACTTAAATACTTTTCACTGAAATGGTCTTTTATTTTACATTATGCTTAACAAATACCGTAGATGGCAACCATACAACACAAAAACAACATTGATTGTAAAAGGCCTACCATAACAACACCCTACAAACTATACAAATTGAAACCAATTTTTTTTTTAAATAATGTGTTAAGTTAGCTAACATATTTTGCATTTTCTGTACCAATGGTTGCTACCTTTTTAGGCTTAGATTTTATAAGAATAAAGTGTCCCTTTATGACAAAAACACGGTTAAATAATTCTTCAATATCCAATTATTTGTGACAGAAGGTGAGATGATTATGATTAGGCTACATTTGATGTTTTAGGTCATTTGGCTGAAATCTAAACATCAGGGTTAATATAAGAATAAGTGCAAAATCTCAATCACCAGTTCAGTTCAATAATTGGAAATTTATTTAATTCATGTAAATAACTTAAGCTAACAACATACATATTATGTTGAATACCATTTAACAGTGTGGATATCAGACTTAACAGTGTGAATATCATAAAACAGTGTGGATAAATAGTCTAATGTTTGAAGATTATGTTCTAGTGTAAATCTTATATGATGATTATGTAGAAATAAACTAATTGCTTTGGGCCAATAAGCTGTGTGCTTTAGTTAGCTTTACATTTAAAAAATACTGTAATTTAGAGTTCTATTCTATAGAGATTTTAATTACATTATTGGGTTTCACAGAAGACTATACAGCAGTTGCAGAAATGTTGGGACAATATAAAGACCAGTAGGAAGAAGAAGTTGGCAAAGGAAAGGCAGGCCAAAATGGGAACAGGTGGGGGTCCTCCTACAAAATTTGAAGATGACCCAGAAATCGATGCCATCCTTCAAAATTCAACTGCCATTGACATCCCAAATGTGTATGACAGTGACACCTCCATGTTGGAGTCAACCAAAGAACAAGGTATGATTTAATAGCGCTTCAGTGTTTAATGCCCCTTTCTTATTGATATAGGCCTACTTAAACAAAACTTCTCATACTATTATAAAATAATGCTACAAATTTTAAATTGAAGGTAAGTTTTAATACATTCTTGGGGACTTTGTTTATACTCTAGCCATTTTTACTCCATAATGCTGAGTAACTTTTCAAAAGTCAGAGAACATGCATTGGTGATAATATCCATATGCCTAATGCCTTATTAATATTTTCTACAAATAACTATGGACATGGGACATAAAAAATATTTCTTTATGTAAATTGTATTAAACAAGGAAACACTAACTGAAGGTAACATTTGCGAACAAAAGGAAGGGTAATATCCAGGAATGAAAAGTGAGTACTGTACATAGCAAAGATCTCATTCTGAAGTTTTTAGCAAATGTTTGTCTTGTTGTTCAGTACCTAGGGAATGACTGCATCCTACCAAAACTATGATTGCAAGCTGGTAAATCAGTGTGTTGGTGCATGGCCTATTCTGAGAACTTTATCAACCACTTAAAACATTTTCAATAATACTATGAGACTAAAAGCCATACCATATATATATGGTATTTTTTTTACATAAAGCCTCCTTACAAAAGCTACTATGAGACTATTTGTTAATTATTTGTTGCAGAATTTTTCAATATGACCTTCATCGGAGTGAGCCAAGATGGGGAAAGTTCTGCTGTACCAGAAATTTCAATTAGGTCTACACCCCCACAGTTGACAATGACACCTGCTTGTTCAACCCATGATCAAAGAACACTAACTAAAGAAAATGAAAGAAGTAGGCAAACATTATTTGTTTAATTTTTCAGTAGCACCAAATATCAATGTATAAATATTATTAGTTATGAAAGATCTATGAAATTTGTTGGTGAATAAGTAAATAGAGATATCTTTGAAGCTCAGAAACATTTACACAACTACAGTGATGAAAATTTTAAGTCTAAGATGAAATTGGTACTAATATTTTTCTTAAGTCAGGCAGCAAGAGTTTTTAGAGTTCCGGAAATATTAACATTGTGATCTCTCTTATTCCTATCAAACAATTAACAATCCTAAAGTCTGTTAAAATCATTAGGTCATCAAGAACAGCATTTCTTTTCAGAAATTGACTACATATCCAAATAATACTTCCTTACATTTATTGAAAGAAAATATGTGAAAGTAATAATCATAATTTTTGTCTCATTAATATTTTTAGGGAATGATGGAGTATGTGGGAAAAAACGGAAGCTGCTCGGAACTGCCAGGCAGGCTGCAATCAACATCGAGCTGGAGGAGAGGGTAAAGAAGTTGAGTAAGATGGCAGAGCATGAAGAGGAGTTGCACCAAATAAGATTAGAGGAGGCCAGAACAAAATTAAAGATACAGCAACAGATATTGGAAACAGCAAAAATTGAAACTGAGGCTGCAAGAATGAAAAAACAATATGAAGAGGAAATTTTAAAAATTAAATTAAAATGTGCATGTGAACATTGAACTTGTAATCCCCAGTTATTTGATATACTATTAGTATTTTTAAATGCCTTTTTCCTCATGGTACAGTAGTTGTCTCATGTTTGTAATAGCTTGGCTACTTATCCGTTTCTCTTAACTTTTTGGCCCATTAGTTTCTTTCGACTCAATCACCCTGCTGTACTTATTTATTTGATGTACCAAAAACAACTTTTCTTTATCTGAAAAAGATCTGAATTTAGTACTTTAATATTTGTAAATACAATACTATTTTTTTTTATAAAATAATAAACTGTTATTTTTTGGATGTTTGTTAAACCTCATTAAAAACTGCATGTAGTTTCCTAACTTAATTGGTTCAATGAAACCATATATTTCAATGGTGGTTGTTAAGACATAACACATGAACAGATCCATAATACAATTGTATTCTATATTATAATATTATTATAATTCAAGGATATGGTAAACTTTGAACCATTATGGACAACTTTAAACCTGGAAGAATCAAACGTAAGAGATTACTATACAAAAGACATTTTTTTATAAAATGACCACTTTTACAGCTTTACAACTTTTCCTTTAAGGGTTTAGTTTGATCATTTACTTACAATAACTGATATGGCAATCATATATGGTGATTGATCACCAGATAATTGATAATTTCAATTAAATTGTTTACCGAGGAAATACAGATAAACATATAAGGTAATAAATAGTATATTAATTAAAGGATGATAACAAAATCATGTATTTTACAAAATGTTGACAAAAAGGACTGTTCTGGAGTCAATGTCTATTACTCCTCATTGCGCCTATTTGAGAAATGGCGGTGGATGAACAGCTCTTTAATTAAACGGCCTCTCTCATTATCCCGAACTCTTTCTTCGACATCAACAACAAAATTTTGCCAGTTGTTGGGAATCAGTTGTACATCTTCGTTCCCAAAATCTCTTGGGTCCCACTGCCTCCCAATGTTGTGGAGCACAATGCAGGCAGCTATGATTCTTGTTGTTGTCTCAAGCTTGTTCCTCAACTCGTATAACATACATGGAAAGCGCCTCTTAAGTACCCCAATGGTTCTTTCTACTGTATTTCTAGTAGAAATTTGAGCCCTGAAATCAAATCAATTTATTCTTTAGATAATTACAATGTAGGATTAACAAAAAAAGATAACTTAAAGCTAGCATTATATACAACAATCTTGGTACTTGCCAGTTTAGCAAAAGCCAAACATTTTATCTACTAGTTTAATCCAACATAACTACTTTCACATCAGTAGATTTGGTAGTAAAAAGTATAATATTTCATCATGTTTAGTAGTTTGGTTTATTATAGTAAAAGTTTTTAATATAGTGGCCTCCAGACAACAAGTATGTTCTAAGTGGCATATTTTTACTTTACAATCATCAATAATGAGTGTAAAAACTACTTGACATTAAAAAGTAAAATTGTGGATCTATTGACCTGTTGTATCTTTGTTCAGCAGCAGTTTGAGGGTCCAAAACAGGAGTGTACATGTATTTTGTTTGGGCATAACCACTGTCCCCTAGAAGAAAGGAGTTCTTCAGGTCGCCCCGGGGATTTTCAAAACGCCACCTAAATGAAGAAGCAGGATATTAATTTTCTAGATTAGTGTGTAAATTTCAGTACAATACAAATATAATTAAACAAAACTGACAGTCTGTGATTTCTTCTGTTTTATTAGCTTAATTGAATCAAAAGGGCACGAAGAAACCTGCAGATTAATACAAAATAATCGTTTCCAGATTACTAACAAATATTCATAAATATCCTCCATATTATTATTTTTGTATAGCGGTTAAGGGGGTATTATGCCTACGACCACTAATTGATCTATTGTTAAAACAGGGAGGAAAAGGATTCACAAAATTATAGGAGAGGTAGGAGTTGTATGATATGTCGGAATCTCTTACTTTTGAGATAGGTACTCTTACTGAGATACTACAAAACTTTCTACTTAAGCTTTGATTTAGAAGCGGGTTACTTATTTTAAATACTTACTTATGACTTACATAACGCATAAAAAGTAAAAACTATTAATCTTATCTGACAGTTTGTTGGTAACTGTAAAAAAAAATGCTATTAATATTGTGAATACCGGTAATTAAAATTCTATACCTAAGGCTGCTGTTGCTGAATATCCTCGAGTCATGTGTTGACCCAGGCCAGCGAATCACTGCATCAAAGATCTGCAGCTGCGGGCCAGCGACGAGTTGCACATTGATGGACATGAATCCTTTTCTATTTCTATATACCTCTGCATTCTGGCCACCTGGACTTATAATTGGAATCTGAGTTCCATCAACACAACCCAGTACATTTGGAAATCCAGCTATTCCTAAAAAATCAGCTTTGACCAGATTTTTCTGAGCCTCATTTCTTGGGAAATGCACCAGTCTGGGGATATTTCTAGCCAAAAGTTCTGACACCTCTTGAACTATTCTACTAACAGTTGGCTGGCTTATGTTAACAAGATCTCCGCAAACAGTCTGGAAAAATGTTAACATATGACAATCTTTAAAGGTGTGAAATATTTTATCATATTAATAACTTATGTTACTACCTAAGTTACATTACTTTGATATATTTATTTTTACGCTTAAGAAGGCTATATGCTAGTAAATGTCCTTTTTCACGCTATGAAAAAATGGCAAAAATTCCAGGTTGTGGCTGGCTGTTGGTTACATAAAATATAGGCATGAGTTAAAGAAAGCATTGATATATACACGCCTATCTGCTATAATAGAATTCAAGTAACATGTATGCTAGCCTACATAATACTTGTAGCATGTTACACAATGAGAATGGTATTCTTCAACATGAATTCCTACCTATGCATGGACTATTTTGTTTTTGCCATTTAAAAAAAGATATTTTATCATTTTTAACGTCAATATTGACGTGACTTAGCATACTGAATGTATTGAATAGTCTAACATAGATTTAGTATCATTAGTTAATTTGTGTAGCTCACATTTTATTGTCATGCATTTAAATGACACGATTAGCTTAATATAGGCTATAATAATATTAAAATGCATAAATGTAGACCTAATAGACCTTTGAGAGCATTACATATATGGTACCGGTAAATAGGTAGGGCTAGGATGCTTTAAGTTAGTCTAAGTAACTAGAGAAATTTCTTTAGATAACTATATAATTCCAAAACTATTAGGCCTATTAAAAACCAGTGAATTAAAACTTAAATTAGTAAACCTAGCATAAACTCATTTACCTCAAATTTAACATTCAAGCCTAGTTATGATAAAATTGTTAAAATGTAGGCTAATAAACTTATAATGGCTTACCTGATAGCTACCAGTGGCATAAAATCTTAATGCAGTGGCGACTTTTATTTCTGGAGAAATAGGCAATCCCCTGTTTGTAGCGTTCTGCCTATTTCCATAAATTAGGGGAATAATTTTCTCCCTAACGACCTGTTTTGTAAATCTAAACCTATTTATAAATTCATTGTCATCATACACTTCAAAAGGATTCGTAGGGATGTGATCGTTTGGCCTATGTGCCCGATTTTCAAAAAGGTCATCGTCAATGTGGTCCATGAATTCAATAAAATCATCTTCTAAAATATTTTCATCCATTGTAGAATCGACGTGTGTATAAAGAATATAAATAATTTGTATAATAAATAAATAAATAAAATAACACAAGTATCAACAAATAATTTAACTATCCGATCTACTCAAAATACGCCGGGTCAACGGGAAAAAGTGTCAATGCTGTTTAATCAAAATAAACAAACATAACCTACAAATCACAGCTTTGTAAGGTTATAGGGACGTTCATACCTTCCTTATTATTCTAAGGAGTAAGGAATCATCAATTAAGGAAAATTTATTCGTTAAAGGAGTTAGGAGCGTTTGTGAATTTGAACAAGCAACAATACTTAAGGAATTCCTTCAATCAAGGAGGCCTTGAATAAGGAACGGAAGTAGGAACGTTCCTGAATACCAGTAAGGAGAAAGGTAAGGAATAAGGAACAAGGAATAGGTTAAGGAACGTTCATGAATTCCGCCCTAATAGGCCTAAACACCCACATGCCCCCATCCGTTCCATGAATGACTAAAATGCAAGATATTTCCTTGAAACTTGTTTCTATCTTACAAACTTCTATACACATAATTTATTTGAAAAGTATTGAATTACAATTGAAATTATGCTGACTAGTTCTATCAGACTAATTTTTATTTGAACTGCTCCAATATTAGTTATAATTGGTTTACTAAACGTTAACACTAAATATATCTATATCTATAAAAGAGGAAGGATGTATGTATATACAATATGGACTCCAAAACCGCTTGGCAGATTGTAATGAAACATATTAAGCATTATACAAGGAAGGTTTGTGTGTAGTTTGGTGCAGATCCGTCCAAACGGCTTCGCAACTAGTGGCTCTGCAGTTTCCCATGTTGACCTTATTATGAGTACTCATATTTAAATATAATTAAACAATATTAACAGCTTTTTAAACTTAACAATTTGATTCTGTGATACTGAATAACATTACAAAGTTAGAAGGTTTGCCAACAGGGTGCAACACTATTAATTGTTTAAATTTATGACAACAGCTCATTTGAACTAAGCAACGTACAACAAAAGCTGTGATGAGAAGGTAGGATATCAAAGTAGGATTCTTTTACAGTTATATACCTATATATTTTTTCAAATTTAATAATATTGTTTGGATTTGTGCGAATAAGGCGTTTAATTTGTTAAGTGCATAATTCATTAACTTATTGACTTTCCAAATCTATTGTGTTTGTATGGTTTATTTACACAAAAATAATGTTTGGGAAACGGATTAGCCGGTCAATACTTTTAGTGGATTACTAAACTTTTAAAAACTACATAAAACAGATTTTTAGAACGTTATAATTATTCTCTTAGTGTTCTCTTCCCGTTGCGAAGCGCCGTTATGACGGCTAGTAAAATTATAAAAAGAAAGGTTTGACAAACGTTATATAAATTGTTAAATTAAAGTAAATTGTTTAGAACCACAAATTGCATCATAATTGTGATTTATTAAAGGGACACGGTAAAAGTATCAAAGTATGCAATGATTATAATTTGTAACTTATAACAGAAAGTTTCTATATAATATTTAATAGCCCATATAGAGGGTACAATAATAAACAAATTAAATTATTATATTCATGTACATATATCTCTAAAACGGATAGAGTTACAAAACAGTAATAAACACAATTTTGTAGAAAAATGTGTGAACTTCAACTTTGCAATTATATATGCTATGTAAAATATTAATAATTTTTGAGATAATTAAGAGAAACAAAAAAATTGTACCTAAAAATTAATAAAATTACATATTTAAGTTCATATTTCTCTGAAACGATTGGAGTTACAAGAAAACTGTAAATACAATTTTTGAAGTAAATTTTGTGTACTTTAAGTTTGTAATTGCATGTGGTATATAAAATATTAATACTTTATAAGAAAATTTAGAAAAACCAGAAAATTGTACCTAAAATCCAAGATAGCGGCGAAAGCTCAACTCTCACGTTAGGGGACTTTTAGTACGATAAAGTAGAAGCCTTAACTAACATTTTAAGCCAATTTGCAAAACTATACCATTTTTTGTTTTTCTTTACGAATTTTAAAGCTAATTTGACTGGGCTATTTGGTAGAATTCAGTAACTTCCAATAAATATGTGTTGTTTGAAATACAATTTAAAAATTAACAGCTGTTTCATTAAAAAGTATTATTCACATGGCCAAAATGTAAACAACTTTGTGGAGGGATCTTTAAAGGCTTCTGGGGAAGAGTCCTAAGGGATTTTGCTTAATTTTTATTTTGATAACTCATCTACAGACCAAGACCTTTCTTTGGACACCTCTACCAAGTTTCTACGCCCAGCCGTTCTCTCAAATTAGTGGGGACAAAGTTTCCAATTAAATATTTAAATTCCCCCATGTTAATCTTATGGGAGAAACTTCAACTTTGATGGCCTGTGGGGCAAAGCCTGAGGATTTTTATTACAGGAATTGGTGAAAGGGGGCGTCTACACAAAAAATACTTTACTTTGACACGTCGTTTGTAAAAATCTGTCCATTATTAACGGAGGAGTAGTGTTTTGTAGAAATCGCCTTCACGTATTATATATAAGGACTAGGGGAAACCCGTCGAAATCGACGGTTACTTTCAAGGCTTACGTTAATTCATCTAACTGCGATAAATTGGGTGAAATATACATATTTTGAGCATTTAGCATTGTTTAAAGGGTAGTAAGTGTGAAAACAATTATGATTTTAATTGCGTTAGTTGCCAAATTTGGTTGATCATTCAATGATTAAAATATTTCCCATACCGTACGTCATTTGACTCATCGGAGTTATTATTAGTATGTTATATGATATCCCTTCCTTTGGAAGAACCTTTAAATAGTATTAAAATCGTATTGGTGGGTCTTTTGTAGTTAAACACTTCTGTGATTTCATCAGTGTAATATGATTTTATTTGAAGTAAAATATTTTTTGGGAAGAAATGTTCTAACTTCAAAGGGAGGTATATCCGTTACAGTGTAAGTTTGATTTTTCCTTCGTCACGTCGCGTCAGTTCATATCGTACTTCTGTGCCAATGAATGAACCCTCTAGCATAGTTATGAGAAATTTATTGTGGGGTTACTGTTAAAGCTGGAATTCCTTGACATGGGGGATGTCAGTTAGTTGTCTCAGCCTTATCAATAACATAAAGTTGTCAATATAATCTCTCTACGGAATGATAGGTGTAGTGGAATACTTGAAGTGAAGTTGGCTTTTATTCTTAAACTGTTAGGGACCTCCTAGTTTATATGGTCTTGCGGCTTCATTGGCAACAAATAATGCAAATGACATAGCAATGGGACATTTCCAAAAAGAAAAAATACTGTAAATTGGCTGTTGCGTATATATTGACGTTTACATATTGTAAATCAGCGTATCTTATAAAGGATTATGAGGTCTAGTTTAAAAGGAATATGACCTTTCTGTCATGACAGTAACTGCTAAAATAGTATTTTCTCTTTGTACCATATTTTACAGCCAAAATGTCGTGTTATTTTCAACAATGTTACCAACCCAGTGCGCCAAAGTCCGTAATATAGGCAGGTGCAAATAATTTGTCAAGATGGGTCCAATTTAACTGTAGGCAATGTTTCTATGTTTGGATTTTATTAGACACGATAAGAGCAGATATTTCTACATGAATATTTGATATGTGTAGAATAATATGATAAAATTTAGGCAAAAGTGGTGAAAAAGGCAGACACCAACCCGTACAATAGATATAAGATAGTTCAATAAGAAATAATTTAAGAATTTCTGTTATCAAAGGATTTTCCACTGATTTCGTAATAGAACGTTATATTGCAAAACATGACATGATAAAGAGGAAAATTAATTTTAAAATCAGAAAATAACATTGCAAATACTTATTTGGTACAATTCAGTAACCCAATAAATATGTGTGGTTTGAAATACAATTTAAAAATGAACAGCTGTTTTATTAAAAAGTATTATTCACATGGCCAAAATGTAAACAACTCTGTGGAGGGATCTTTAAAGGCTTCTGGGGCAGAGCCCTAAGGGATTTTGCTTAGTTTTTCTTTTGATATCTCATCTACAGACCAAGACCTTTCTTTGGACACCTCTACCAAGTTTCTACGCCCAGCCGTTCTCTCAAATTAGTGGGGACAAAGTTTCCAATTAAATATTTAAATTCCCCCATGTTAATCTTATGGGAGAAACTTCAACTTTGATGGCCTGTGGGGCAAAGCCTGAGGATTTTTATTACAGGAATTGGTGAAAGGGGGCGTCTACACAAAAAATACTTTACTTTGACACGTCGTTTGTAAAAATCTGTCCATTATTAACGGAGGAGTAGTGTTTTGTAGAAATCGCCTTCACGTATTATATATAAGGACTAGGGGAAACCCGTCGAAATCGACGGTTACTTTCAAGGCTTACGTTAATTCATCTAACTGCGATAAATTGGGTGAAATATACATATTTTGAGCATTTAGCATTGTTTAAAGGGTAGTAAGTGTGAAAACAATTATGATTTTAATTGCGTTAGTTGCCAAATTTGGTTGATCATTCAATGATTAAAATATTTCCCATACCGTACGTCATTTGACTCATCGGAGTTATTATTAGTATGTTATATGATATCCCTTCCTTTGGAAGAACCTTTAAATAGTATTAAAATCGTATTGGTGGGTCTTTTGTAGTTAAACACTTCTGTGATTTCATCAGTGTAATATGATTTTATTTGAAGTAAAATATTTTTTGGGAAGAAATGTTCTAACTTCAAAGGGAGGTATATCCGTTACAGTGTAAGTTTGATTTTTCCTTCGTCACGTCGCGTCAGTTCATATCGTACTTCTGTGCCAATGAATGAACCCTCTAGCATAGTTATGAGAAATTTATTGTGGGGTTACTGTTAAAGCTGGAATTCCTTGACATGGGGGATGTCAGTTAGTTGTCTCAGCCTTATCAATAACATAAAGTTGTCAATATAATCTCTCTACGGAATGATAGGTGTAGTGGAATACTTGAAGTGAAGTTGGCTTTTATTCTTAAACTGTTAGGGACCTCCTAGTTTATATGGTCTTGCGGCTTCATTGGCAACAAATAATGCAAATGACATAGCAATGGGACATTTCCAAAAAGAAAAAATACTGTAAATTGGCTGTTGCGTATATATTGACGTTTACATATTGTAAATCAGCGTATCTTATAAAGGATTATGAGGTCTAGTTTAAAAGGAATATGACCTTTCTGTCATGACAGTAACTGCTAAAATAGTATTTTCTCTTTGTACCATATTTTACAGCCAAAATGTCGTGTTATTTTCAATAATGTTACCAACCCAGTGCGCCAAAGTCCGTAATATAGGCAGGTGCCAATAATTTGTCAAGATGGGTCCAATTTAACTGTAGGCAATGTTTCTATGTTTGGATTTTATTAGACACGATAAGAGCAGATATTTCTACATGAATATTTGATATGTGTAGAATAATATGATAAAATTTAGGCAAAAGTGGTGAAAAAGGCAGACACCAACCCGTACAATAGATATAAGATAGTTCAATAAGAAATAATTTAAGAATTTCTGTTATCAAAGGATTTTCCACTGATTTCGTAATAGAACGTTATATTGCAAAACATGACATGATAAAGAGGAAAATTAATTTTAAAATCAGAAAATAACATTGCAAATACTTATTTGGTACAATTCAGTAACCCAATAAATATGTGTGGTTTGAAATACAATTTAAAAATGAACAGCTGTTTTATTAAAAAGTATTATTCACATGGCCAAAATGTAAACAACTCTGTGGAGGGATCTTTAAAGGCTTCTGGGGCAGAGCCCTAAGGGATTTTGCTTAGTTTTTCTTTTGATATCTCATCTACAGACCAAGACCTTTCTTTGGACACCTCTACCAAGTTTCTACGCCCAGCCGTTCTCTCAAATTAGTGGGGACAAAGTTTCCAATTAAATATTTAAATTCCCCCATGTTAATCTTATGGGAGAAACTTCAACTTTGATGGCCTGTGGGGCAAAGCCTGAGGATTTTTATTACAGGAATTGGTGAAAGGGGGCGTCTACACAAAAAATACTTTACTTTGACACGTCGTTTGTAAAAATCTGTCCATTATTAACGGAGGAGTAGTGTTTTGTAGAAATCGCCTTCACGTATTATATATAAGGATTCTCATTACCAAACGAAACGTACAACATCTTCCCCTGCTTGTACAAACTGGCGTTTTTCAACCCCGGCTAATTCCTCCACCCCCTCTTCTTAAGAAACTTCCGTCGTCGTGGACATTGTGTTGGGGAATGGAGGGGAAGTACAATACAATGTCCGGGGCGTAACTCACCCCGTAGTCGGCGAGGGCAGTTCTGTATTTTGATTCAATGTAGCGGGGTAGGGCCCAGGTGGCAGGGGGGGCAGGTGGCCCCGTCAATGTGAAGGGGGGGGGGTATAAAGATTATGCTGATAACAGTAATGTCAGACTTATGGAATTGCTTTGGTTGGTGATGGCTATGATTTCAACTGTTATGGAAAGTGATACATAACAAATTAAATTCAGTTGACAATATTGCAAATAATTGTCAAAGGTACAGTTTGTATATTAATCTATGATTGACTGGTTGTGTCGTGAAATATATTTACTATGTCAACATCTTTTATTCATTCGCAAAATTAGCTGTTCTTGCACCAACTTTTAGAGCTATGTCACTGATAGTGTTTAAAACACGTCTACGGAAGGCAACCGAAGTAAATTAACAGTTTAGAACTTATTTTACCTCCACACACTTTATATAGTACAAACTGCTGTACCCGTTGTACTTCCAACGACTTCCAACGGGAAGAATTCTCAGTGTCATAATCATTGCCATTTATGATGATTTTTTATTTATAGAATAAAATAATCTATTATAAACTTTTACATAATCCTACCACATAGTTCTGTAAAATATATTTAATTTCTTTGGATCAGCCGTCTCAAATTGTGAAATTGTGAATAATGTTCCTTAAACAAGTGAATAGGTAACGTTCCTAGGTATTTGGACCATCTTTGTGATTAATTTTGGCTATATTGGTTTAGTATTTAATCGTGACAGCCACCCAGACAGACACCACCTCAATTTAAAATAGTATAGATAAGTTCATTAGTCTTTGTTGTAAAGTTAAATAACAACATTTAAAAAGTGAAAATATATAATAGTTTGAGAATCCAAACAACTTCCTTAGTTGTTTAATGATTATAACTATTTTTCATAGACTACTGTGTTATTGTAGTGGATTTTACACGAATAACCAAGGGCATAGACAAAAGCAAAACAATATTTTGGGTTTTCTGATTTATTTAATTAAACCAAGTAAAGTATCTAGAACTAGTATAAACGATTTACATAGGTACAACTATATACATCACCTATGCACATTGGCAATTAATGGATTTGAAAAGGAAATATTTAGATTGTAAAATTCACTTAATTGATCTCGACTAGACAATCTACTGAGTAAAACTAAAACGCTAAATAAACAAAAACACTGTATATAAATGAGGTATAAATGCTGGTATCACAAAACCGCTACCAGATCGCTAAGTTCTACTGATCTTAAGCACTATCACTACTAAATGGCAGTTGCGATACACCAACTTAAGTCTTCATTGAGATCAACTAGTATTTTCCGTAAGTAATCTAAAAGTTAAAATAACAAAATTAAAAGATTGTCTGTGGAAGTTAAAATAATTGCAGCGATGTATTAATAAGTATTTATCTAAACTATTTGACAAGTTTAAACTATTACAAAACTGATAACGTTTTTAGTATAGTTTGTTCAAATTAAAAAGAATTCGGGCATTAAAAATCGAGTATAATAATTCAATTGTGCAAAAATGCAACTGCATAGCGTAAAACTAAAACACATAAACAAGAGAAAGCATAATAACTCTTAAAATACAATACTTCATTGAGATCATAACAATAACAAAATTACATTCTTAATAAATAAAACTTAAATATAAAAACTAACCAAATTATTTGGTTTTTTCATTTGGTTTGAATAAATGTAACAAACATGTGTAACTAAAACGAAAACTAATAATATATGTTACAACCATTGAAAGTATACAAAGGAGGGCCAGATTATCAAAACCTGATTACAAAAAATGGTAATTTCTAAATCCATTGCGGTTATCAAAACCGATTAAAAATGTCATAGTAGTGATTGATTGAATTCATGGGTAATGTCAATATCTTGTATAGCATAAATATAAAGACAATTCTTTAAAAACATCAGATAATATCTATGTTGATAACAGTATGTTGATAATAATCTATGTTGATATATCATATCCACAGGTCTAACATCTCAACTAGAACAGTTAGCCGATGCAATATCAAAAAACGCGGAGAAAGGCACCTGTTAAAAGTTATAGGCACATAATGGCAAACAAGTTAACTTAAAAACATTCACTGTATAAAATGTATAAAATCTAAATAAAGTATGGACAGTTTATATCACTCTGTACCAAAATGTCATAAAACTACAAGTCACTTAAAACTTGTATTTGATTGATTGTTTTTAAGCAATATTGTATAATATGGAGAGGCGAATCATGGCATTGAATTGAATATAAAGCAGTCATTGTATAAAAGTCAGCTCCATTATTGCAATTGTTAAATTACCCTGTACATAAAGGTCAAACATAGCTATAACAAGTCAATTTTAATATTCATGTTTGCGTTAAAAACATTATTCTGTAATTTGCATATACGTCTATTTCATAGACTACCGCTTTCTTCCTACATTACACATACAAAGACAACATTTAATTTAGATTATCTAAAAAAATAACTGATATAGTTCATATGATTGTGGTATAACATGTTTTATGTTATAAATCATGTTTCAAAGATGTCGTGTTTGATACTCAATATTGAAAGACTACTAATTATGATTTTTAACTTTTATGATTATTTAAATTATTTAATGTTTATCATTATTTCAATAAATTACGCGATCCTTTGCCAAGAATGGCTGCAGACGTTACAAAGACAAATAATTTATTTATTTTAAAATGTGTTTTTTAGATCCCACAACATTGAAACTCTAATCAGATTGTGAACCCTCCGGAGCGTGTCTTCAGAAGAATATATAGTCGACGTCTGTTGGGGTGGTGACGTCGGTGTCGTGGTCGTGGGGGTGGGCAGATTTGGGGGCGGCGAGAGCGGGGCTTGGCGGAGACCTGGGGGTGGCAAACGCGACCTCGTGCATCAGCGTCTCTATGTGGGAAGCGGTGCGGGTGACGTCTTCGGGGCAGCAGCGGGTGAGAGCACAGATGGAGGCGACGGAGGCTTCAGGCACCTTGAGACCACGAGCAGCAGCCAACAGACATCCAGAGGCGATCAGAGAGGGTGGCGTGCGGAACAGGTACGGCTCTGGAACAGGGACAAAACAGTTACAACTACAACTGTGGAGATGGAACAGGTACAAGTAGAACTACAGAGAATATACCATATTGTCTGTGTAGTAGTTAACAAGAGAACATAAGTCAGACGTGGAACAGGTACGGATCTGGGACAGCGATACAAACTGTTACAACTACAACATGTGGAACAATAACGGGGACTCTGTGGAACAAGACAAAGGGTTACAGCATAAGCTCTTTACATGGAACAGTTACAGCTTTGGACACGACAACTAAGGACTGCAACTGAAACGCTTGAGATGGAAAAGGTAAAGGTATGGAACAGAACAACAAAAAGTTCTAACTAAAACTCTGAAAATGGAACTTCAACAAGAGGAAACTTCAACAATAGGAAATAAAAGTCTCAACTAACTATGACTTTGAACATACTAACTGGTACGCTATGAAACAGAGCGAGAAGTCTCTTCATATTTACAGATAGGTCGAGTATTATTCACTTCTTCTCTGTACCTGATATTTTATGATTCCGGCAGCGGAACGACGAGCAAGCACAGATTACGGTATGCTCTCATACCAACTTGGCATTATCTCTATGTTAATATCAGTGGAATGCAACAAGTATTTTTGCTTAAAACCAATTTAAAAAAAGCAAATACAGATTACGGTAAACTATCAGATGAACTATTCATTACCTCTAAGTTAGTGTCAATGCAACGCAAAAAGTAATTTAGCGGTTCAAAATATACGAGTAATATCAATTCCTATATTGCCAAACTCAAAATTAATACCGTACTTTGCTGAGCTACAGTTTATTATGGTCATTTATAAACCACAACTTAATAAGTAAGAGGAAGCATGCGCCGCAGAATAAAGGAATTAATGAAGAAATGTACTGAAATAGTATTAATTTTTGTCCATGTGTGGTCTACATAGCAACGTAGGGATGAAGGGACAGATGAAGAGGGGTGAGTCAGTCAGTTCAAGATTGTATGTCAAAGTTAACAGCTGTCTTTAACATTACTTACATATCCATAACCTTATTGTTCTTTTGTAAAATTAGGATTAAACATGACAAATTAGGCCACGGTAGTTTTGTAAAGTAGTTTGAGTATCGTACAATACTTTACTGATCCTAAAGGCGGCATTAGAAGGACACTGTCATTGAAGTGAATTTGGCCAAATTGCTAAATTGAGCCAATTTGAACGTATGGTGGGCTACATCAATTAATTTTTAGCTCGAGATTCCGACATTTGAGTCATGGCCATTACATCCACATGAATGACACAGACTAAGACAATGTTAATTATTATGAGATCTGCGCGCCTGGCTTTTGTAACGCAATATGACTACCAGCATGTGCTGCGGTTTTAGCATATGTTAGATTTGAAGGCTCCACGATGAATAATTGAACAAATTGGTTTTTGTAAAGTACTGTACGTGCACGTCACACACTTAAAAATGTGCTGCCGTGTTAGGTATAACGGCAAAAACCGTGCGATAATTAACTTTTTAACAAATATAAATAGTTTATTTATTCGATGCAGACTCGATACCCTGAATAGCTTCGTATTAAATTATAAGGAACCTTGTACTGATCAACTGATGTTATAATTAATTGTACTGTCCACCTAGTTATGGTTCTACGAGTCTAAACGACCAAACCTTTGCCAGCGACGCCCACACGTTATTTTGAATCTCATGTGAATACAGCAAGACGATCTGTGACTTTGTTACTGACTAGAGATCAGCTGTTTCCAGCGGTTATTAGGAGCAAAGGACAGCCAGGTCCTTTTATAAACCACTCAAAAAGCTACTGACCTTTCAACAGGATTCGACCAGCGTCCAACAACCCTGTGGTTACTACATGAGCACAATAACAAATTATTTTAATTACCCAGCTCCAAGTACTGTAAAAAAAGTATATTCCCTGAAGGATAAATTTCTTTTCAACCAGTAAATATACTGTAGCAAATAAGGTGTTATAATCTCAACAGGGACCTGCACTTACGTGAGATAGGTCTTTAACCCTTTAATCCCACTTCAACAAAAATACGACACTTCCTGGAGAATTTGATATCCATTTCCGTCCCCAACAGTTGGGCTCCGACACCCTTTCGGCGGAGATTTCAGTTCCAAAAACTGGTCTCGGACCTGGGCAGGTAGAAACTCCGGCTACCTGTCCCTTTAAACTTTAAATGCCATTGTGGGTGTGGACGGAGCTTTGTTCGCGGGAAACGCTTTACGTAAACCCGCCCGACGAGGAGAAAAAAATCGTATTTTGTGACATCATCAATCTTATCTCTGTGGATGACTCTTAGGTCTTCGGCTTCGGGCTTTCAGATTTAAATGGACCGTAGAATGAAGTATCGCGGATAAAGGTACAAATGCGAAACGTCCTGCATTGTACAGTTTGACAATCTTTTGCTATCTACAAGACAATTGTTATTTAATGTTAATTTGATATTTTCTATGACATGATTTTACGATTTACGATGTGATTATTTTATGCTCCTTTTGATATGGGATTGATAAATGTACACTGTTTTCAAGAAAAGTGAGTGTATTTGTATTTTAGTAGTTTATACTGTCTTTAGAAAGTTGAATTGGTATTGTAACTGAATTGCGTAGCAAAATATATTAACAACATGACTATAACATATTTTACAACATTATCACACAACAAACAACATTATCAAATCACAATTGCATATCACAGAATAAAAGTAACAAATATAAAAAATAATATGAATCGTGTGGTTGTTAAATTTGAGATTATAAATCATTGGGCAATTGACCTATGGCAAAAAGATAAATTACTATCAAATGTTTGGTATAAATTAATCAAGTATTAATTTACAAACACATTTCCACATTTTAACTGTTTATAATCCATCAGTTGTCTCCAACTCCCTGCAAGCTGGGTCACATTAGGTTAGGTTGGTTATTCCTTAAAATGTACATCTCCAATTTATACATATATAAAAATAACCAATTCAACCTAACTCTATTAACTTGCAATCAAAGGGGTTGGTGAGATCACGAATTTTGAGCAATAACTGCACATATTTGTACTTAACAAAAAAAGCGTCCATATTTAGAAAATTGCGCAAACAAGCCTCATACTGAAAAGGCTAAATAAAACCTTCCCTTTAGGTTTTGGGATTTTGGAGAACATTAAAATCCTCCCTGAGAGAACTGGGGCAAAAAGCGGAGCTCAGAAAAAGCCGTTCGATTGTGTCTCGAGGAGTCGGTCCATTCAGCTCTCAACCTTGAGTAACGGAGCACCTGCGCGCGGTCTGGGCATTTAAAAATGGCCGCCACTACTACTACTCATATACTCCTACGAGCGTCTTATCAGCTGGTCCCCTTATCAGATAACAGTTCTCACGGACTGGTCGTGATGGCTCTGAGTTTATCTGACAAGTTCTCGTGGTCGAAGCGAGCTAATAGTACATAACTGTAACTGTGAGACCGATAAATTAAAACACAGGACTTCTTTCACACGGTGTTTTTACTCTCGGTAGAATTATATTGTGGACGAATAATTATGTAGTTATTTATGGTGGTGCGAGAATCATACGGCTCATTTTTATGTCAGTAGTTCAACAATAATTATAAGTTTCGAATCAGCAGTTCTGCGAACACTCAATTACTTTATGAAAATGCATGTTTGATTATTTCGCAATCAAAAGAAACATTACACAGTTCTGTGGGTTTAAGTAGATAATTCGTGAGTACTGTTTTCAGCTGTGTTTTAACAGCCACAATAAAGATGTGATTTTTCAGTTCTCAAAATCTGAAGTAATAACGATGCATTAGCCTCGAGTTTCAAGGATTTCGTGTGGGTAGCAAATTGTACCATCGTATTCTTAAGAAATTTGATTGTAAAACTTTAGAGAATATGGCCCATTGTTTGGCTTTATCACTGATTCGTAAAAAAATTGTTTAATTGTAATTATATGCAATACAATGCAAGTTACAAAAGGGCATAACAAAATGTTACTAATGTAACATATAATTTATTCCGAATTGTATTTTAATCCAAATGAAGCACCGGCTCTCAACTTTAGGCAAACTTGGAAAATAAAGAAATACCTGTTCGACCAACATGCGGGCAGCAACCAGCACGCGACACGTAAAAGACTATAGCAGTTTCAAGGTTATAAACTGCAGATGTCTATAATAGTGGCTCTATTATAGAGAGTGACTGTAGTACGCTGTCCCCTCCACCAACACTAGCAGCTGACGCTTAACACCTGGCTGACGTCACAGGCGTAGCCACTGCCATCACCATACTGGTTATCAATATTTTATTGATGAAACTTTCTTCAATTGTGCATTTTATAAAAAAATATAATCATACGAGTATTTTTCATGTATTTTTTTACATTTGTCATAATTAATCATCTGAGAGGTATTTTATATTACGTTCATTTACGGTTTACGTAGAGTGCGATTAGGTGTTAACTATTACTACGTATTTCACAATCGTAGCTATTTTTATAATAAAATTCTATAATTATTGCATGTTTTTACTGTTAAAACCAAAAAAGTATAGTGGCCTTGTATTTACCATGAAGTAAAGGAAACCCTTATTTAGTAAACTACATCGTATTAAAACGTAAACGGACGTGTGTTTCAAACAAACACAAGAGTTCTCTTGAAATATCCTAAGTGTGATATTTTATTTAAACAAATAACAAGGGATTTTCGTCAAATTTGTGTAACAATACAGTATTTAAAGTTTAGTGCATTCAAATGTATTGCACACACAATGATTGTCATTAGTAGACTATTCCAACTTTTGAAAATTCAGATGACTAATTGTGTATAATAAAACATATAATAATACTTCCAGCGATTACATAGAAATCCACAACGGCCACACAAACGTAATCTCGAAAAACTTACAAATAATTTTAAAATGTGTAACAAAACTGTCCCCTTGGATAAAGTTATAATCCCCATGCGTCAGGATAAAATATATTTTTTTGTTTCCAGGCAAGGTA